TGAGTAGCATGGAGTCCATTATGTCGACCTGCTGCATCCTTGTCCTCGAGGACCTCTTTACATTGTGGATAACGTGACCCCCTTAAAAATGTGAATGAGATCCCACCTGTACTCCCTTAGCTTCCCACCTTGCTCCTGGTGCAGGGGGTTCGGATTAGCAGTAGAGTGCTTGCCTAGTGTGCATGAGGCCCTGGGTTCCATCTCTGGCACCGCAAATGAATTCCTTTCTAAGGGCTTCCAAATCTGACCTCCCTGCACCCCAACTCCCAACCTGCCTCTCTAGTGGATGGAAATGTTCCAGCCTCATTGACTCCGTTCTTGTCCCCACATATGCAGCTTTTCCCCACCTACAGCCTTTTATTTGGGGGAGGTGTGCTGGGGACTGAACTCCCAGGCACTCGACCACTGAGCCATATCCCAGCCCTGTTTTGAGACAGGGTCTTCCAGAGTTGCTTAGCACCTGGCCAGTGCTGAGGCTGTTTTTTACTTGAGATCTTCCTGCCTCAGCCTCCTGAGCAGTTGAGATTACAGACGTGTGCCACAGGCTGATCCACTGCCTAGAAAGCACTTCCTCCAGAGCATTTTCAAACCAGGCTCCTCCGCTTGATCTCAGTCTGAAGGTCGCCTCCTTTTCTTTCTCCCATGACTGCAGTAGCACCCTCTTTGCCCAGACACCCATTTTTACCTTCTCCAAGGTGCTTGTTTCTATCTGAAATCGCCCTTGCTTGTTTTTTCCCACTGGAGGGGATATTGGGTGAAGCAGGGGCCCTGAGCATGCTGCCTTCCCCAGGTCTAGATCCACCCTGGGGATGCGAACAGCGTGCACGCTGTTTTGAGTGGAGTTGCGTATCCAGTGTCTTCTGGAGGCCAGGGTCTGTCCTGGCTCCCTATAGTTTGGCAGTCTCTGCCCTTGGTAGTCCTATCCAGCTGTGGCCCCATGCCAGCATCTCAGCCTGTCCCTGATCTCTTCCAGGCACGAGGCCCAGAGATTGGAACAAGAAGCCCGAGGCCGACTAGAGAGGCAGAAGATCTTGGACCAATCAGAAGCTGAAAAAGCTCGCAAAGAACTCCTGGAGCTTGAAGCTTTGAGGTGGGTGGAGAACCCGAGGAGGATGGTCTTGGCAAGTGGTGGGTGGGGGCACCAGGGTGTGTTTGAAACGGAACAGCATGTTGCATGGCCTAAATCAAGGCCCCAAGTGGTCAGGGCTTTCTTTTGAGTCTTATAGGACTCTGCCTCCCCCTCCAGCATGGCGGTAGAGAGCACCGGGACTGCCAAGGCTGAGGCTGAGTCCCGTGCAGAGGCTGCGCGGATTGAGGGCGAAGGCTCTGTGCTGCAGGCCAAGCTGAAGGCACAGGCTTTGGCCATTGAGACGGTGAGTTGGGGACTGCTTGTGAAAGGGTGTGGCCTTGGAACCTGGAAGAGACCCATTCATTATGGTCCCTGAAGCCAAGCAGGATAGTAAGCACCCTAATATAAAGCCTTCTTCAAGTACTTTGTGTTTTACAAAGACCTTTGCCCTATAACAATGCATTTAATCCATTCCTTGAGAATAAGGATTATTATACCCATTTTGCAGATGAGTACTCAAACACTGGCACCTTTGTGCTAAGTATGTGAAGCATGTGCTTTACATTCATGTTCTTATTTTGTGCTTGAAATCCCATTGAGTTAGGTCTTATCTTTTTGTGTGTGTGTGTGTGTGTGTGGTACCAGAGATTGAACCCAGGGGTGTTTTACCACTGACCTACATCCCAGCCCTTTTTTATTTTCATACAGGATCTTGTTAAGTGGCCCTGGTTGGCCTCAAACTGGCA